ATGAAATAAATAATTTCCAATTTAATTATAAGAGTTTTATTGAATATTTATTAAAATCAATTTCTAATAAATAATCAATTATATCAAGTTGTTGTTAGTGTAACCCATTAGTATCATATGTTAATTAGCAATATCACTTTAATATGATTCTTGAGCATATTAGACCTTTCAGTTCTTACATACTTTCTTATTATGTGGACTATATGATTATGTTATGTAAACCACGAAAAATCTCTTAAGTAAAGGAAGTAGTTATGGATTGAACAACTGGAGAAAAGCCTCTCATAAAGGGAATCTAGTTGTTTCAGTCTGCATGACCATGTACGGATGGCCACAAGATGGACTACTAGAGAATATCCTCTTAAGTGAGCGAAGTTCTAGTTGTACCATCTAGGGTAGAGGATTATACTAACATATGTTATATGGTAGATTATAGTAATATGTGATTTATTACTTGATGTTTTGTGTTGATGTGTTATTGCATATGATCTATATAATGGGCAAGTGTTGTGATTACCTACTAAGCTTTTGGCTTACAATTGCAACTTTATGTCTTTAGTTGCAGGTCCTTTAGGTTCGAATGGCAATGAGTTGGTGTGATTAGGGGGGGTTTGGGCATTCATTGGGGCATGACACCCATTTTATTCTTATCTTTTGTTGACTTTTTTTTCAAAACAAGTACTAGCTTCCGCTTTTGATGATAACTTTTGATACATTATGATTTGATGGTGTTATGGATGAAACCATTTTTTATTATCCCTACTCTGATTTTTATAAAATAAAAATTATGCTTCATTTATGGGATGTTACATGTGATGATGATGACAACTCATCGGAGATGAAAAAATTAAGGGGTTGTTATTTTTTTTTAATGTGGTGGTGGTGGTAGCTCGTTAGAGACGAAGATCACTGATAGAAAAAGGGTGTTATCAACAAGTTCAATAGTGGGGTGGGGCTTGTGGGGCAGGGTAAGTGAGCCAATTTATTTATTTAAGAATAGTAATAAATCTAAAAATAATAAAGTTACAAAAGGGATAATTTTATCATTTTACATATAACACCCCCCTTTGGCACGTACCATAATATTGTCCACTTTGGGCTCCTATTATGAAAACTTCTCAGGCGGTTACACATCCTGGAATTGCTCTCACCCGGACATACTTAACTACAAAGTTATCTTGGGGGATGTTGCCCTCACGGATTTAATATGCGTTTGATAGAGAAAATGTCCACACCCCTTATAAGGAATGCATAGTTGTCAACCCAATGGTGTACCTAACGTGAATCGAACACGCAACCTTTCTGATTCCACATCGGCTGGGAATGAGAACTAAACATTACTTATAAAGGGTGTAGATACTTTCCCTATCACAACGCGTTTTAAAGTCATGAGAATAGTAGATCCCATAAAAATATATAGTTAAGCGTGTCCGGGTGGGAGCAATTCCAAGGTGGGTGACCCCGAGAATTTTTAGTGTCAGAAGCTTAAAGCGGACAATGTTGTGATACATGTCAAAGAGAAAATGTTACATTACATAAGTCTAATGGATTGAGTTAGACGATAACCTCAAAAACAGACCAAGGGTAATAGATTTATAGCCATCATTAGGGTTGCAAACGAACTGAACTTTTAGCGAACTGTTTGTTAACCGTTCGGTGAGAAGTTCGTTTATTTAATAAATGAACGAATATGAACCCAAATTCGCGTTCATTTAGTTAAACGAATGAACATGAACAATGGTATCGCTCGTTTAATTATGTTCGTGAATGTTCGTTTATGTTGTTTGTTTACGTTAGTTTATGTTCGTTCATATAAGTTCATTTTATGTTCATATATGCTTAACTGTGTTTGATTACATTACTATATTATATGTTCATGTATGTTCAATTATGTTTTTTTATCTTTGTGAATTTATGTTTGTTCGTTTATCATGTTCACGAACATAAACGAACGAACATGAACAATGTAATTTGTTAAATGAACGAAGATGAATAAGAAAACTCGTTTGTTTATCCGTTCGTGTTCGTTCATTTGTTCGGCTAACTTAAACGTTCATATTCGTTCGGTTCGTTTACAGATAGCGTTGTAAACGAACTAAACGTTCAGCGAACAGTTCTTCAACCGTTCGGCGGGAAGTTCGTTTATTTAATAAACGAACGAACATGAACACAAATTATCGTTCGGTTACTTAAACGAACGAACATGAACAATGGTCTTGTTCGTTCAATTATGTTCGTGAACGTTCGTTTATGTTGTTCGTTTACGTTCGTTTATGTTCGTTCATATAAGTTCATTTTATGTTCACATAAGCTTAATTGTGTTTGATTACATTAGTGTATTATATGGTCATTTATGTTCATATATCTTCAATTATGTTTTTTTTTATCTTTGTTTATTTATGTTCGTTTAACATGTTCATGAACATAAACGAACGAACATGAACAATGTAACTTGTTAAACGAACAAACATGAACAAGAAATCTCGTTCGTTTATCCGTTCATGTTCATTTATTTGTTTGGCTAACTTAAACGAACGAACATGAACAAGCCCCGTTCATGTTCGTCCGGTTCGTTTACAGTCCTGTTTACAGACCTAACCATAATAGTATTTGGCATCAAATTTTTAATAATTAAAACAAAAACTATAAAATATATAATATATATCGAAAAAAATATCAAAACTATAATTTACATTAGACTTTATCCATGGATTCAATATTTTAAAAACCGTGTTTTTAGTTGAACCAGGCTAGTGATATATTCAACCGGGTCGAACCGGTTTCTAAAATTTTTATGTTTTATTTTGTTTTATTTCCCTTTTACTGACAAAAACTTATTGAAGATCCAATACAGATGAGTTGTTTGTTATTTTGAGGGTTTATGGCGATATGAACATTAAAAATCAAGTTAAATGCTATATGATTATCTTATATTGTAAGGGTTGTCATATTCACTTTCGGAATTGCAAACAATGGATCTAAAATTGGTTATGAAACAAAAAATGTACATAATCATAAGAGAAATCTAAATAGATGTAAAAAAACCACCAAAATTTGTTATGCAAAATATCTAATTTCCATGTGTTCTTTTAATCAAATTTAACCGGTTCAACCGGACTTTTATAAAACCGGCCAGTTCGTTCGGTTCAGAAATAAACATTTGAACCGTTTTCTTCTTCAGTTCCCGATAAATCTATACGACCGCCGAACCGGCTTTTTAAAAATTGCCCATATTTGATGCCGATATAATCATTTTGAAGTCATCATTATAAATGCAACTTGATGAATACGTACAGTCTATCGGTTTAAACTATGATTTGTACACATCTTATAGAAAACCAAATTAATATTAACACAAATGGAATTCTATTTATTTTGGGCATTTGAATTTTTTTTAAAAAAAGAAACACGTTAATTGTCTTCCTTGAAAAGAGATTAACTCATAAAGATTACTCGATTTAATTTGTAACATTAAAAATAAGTCACATGTATGACCTGAATATTTATTCACTACCTATTTAAATCCAATACGTAACCATTTCAAAACGTACAAGAACACGATTATATCATGAATTCTCACACTATGAAGAACATTTAAAAAGATATGAGGATGAGTTGTTAAATTTACAAAATTTAAAGTGTCTTTAGAGATATTATTGATTATTAATTTTATATTATATGTTGTTTTATATTTTCAAAAGCTTATAGGATTTTACAAAATATTTTTTCATAAATAAAAGATTAAATTTTCAGTTTCGAGCAGCTTTTTTTTTTTTTTAAAGAATTTCAGTAATAAAAATTTCAGGCAAATTTTCGCATACCAACTAGGCAACTAATACCCGATGAAAACATAAGACTATGCTTCATTCAATAAAGTGATATATACAGAAAAGCACAACCAATTATCTATGTATATGCAAAAACCCTTATATTATTTATATGTTCAGAAAAACCCTTATATTAATAGTTACCATTCGAAAAAGACCAAAATACGGGTTTTTAAGAGAAATTGACAACTAAAAATCTAATGTTTCTTACATTTTTATTTTTCTAATATGACATTGATTTTAATTTAGGATAAAAACGATTAGTTAAGAAGAAAAAAATCAACCATATAGATAACACAATCGAATGAAAGTAATCCAAATGTATGTCGGTTTGACATATTATTGCATACAATCGAAGAAATATAAGGGATATGTATATCATGTTATATTTTTAGCCGGTTATTTCTCTTAAAAATTTACGATTTAGTTTTATTTGAAACGTAAATAATAATATAAAGGTTTTTCTAAACATAAAAATAATATAAGAGTTTTTTCTATATATACATGTATAATTGGTTGGACTTTTTTGTATTTATCCCTTCAATAAAATTATAAAATCATTGCAGACGAACCTACCTAATAACATAATCTGAGTAGTGCAAATATTCATATTACGTATCATATATTCATGTATTATCAAATCAGGACAAGCCAAGGTTTCAAAACTACTATTTAAGTATTTTATCAAATTTCAATTAAAAAAATTGCTTTCCAATAGTTGAAAACTACTGTTTAAGTATTTTATCAAATTTCAATTAAAATATTGCTTTCCAAGGTTTCAAAATTTGTTTTTACTCGATTGACACAAACTATTTGTTAATATATATTTTACTTGTAATAATTGCAATTTGAAGCAGTATATAAAGCCACAAAACCAGTGCATAAACCCTAGAAAAGTAGCATGTCCCCACTATGATTCAAAAGACACCCGTGAAGTCTGTGTGTCCCAATCAAGTACTTGCTGGCATCAATCAAGTAAACAAATTAATTAATTTATTCAATCATAAACTGATTAAAGTGAAAACAAAAAAGAGATTACTGATGATTAGAGAATTAAGAACTCAAAATTTACATTAGTACAATCACCCTCCTACCTAATGAACAATTTTTTTTTTTTTTTTTGGAAAATTAAACCTAACAAATCAGCAATGAAAATAAAATTAAAAAAAAAAAAACGAAAAAAGAATGAGAGTGATAGAAGGGGTAAAAGGTTGTTAAATTTGGAAGCCAAATCTTCTACTATATTTGAGCATCAAATCCTATCTCCTTTCTAGATTTCTTCTTCAAATTCAAAAAATCTGCATCAAATTCCCCGCAAAATTAGCTATGTAATGCATAATAACAAATAGAAATCATCGTCTTTATCATCGATTTAAACAATAATTCTCAAAAACTGTTATTAAATGTAGTAGACAAAAAAAATGTAAATGCAAAATCAATGAGAACATAGAACAGAGAATTTTCAATGAAATTGAATTGAAAATAAAAATCGAAACCTGCTCTAAACAAAGACTAAAATTATAAAAAATCAACAGATCTACCTTCGGATTTGCAATCAGGAGGATCTTCAAAGAGTGAGAGAGACAGCTGCTTATGAGCGACGCCAATGTCGAATAATATCAGCCCAGATTTCGGATCGTCGACGATGATATCTTTCACCGGCAACCAGAGGAAAAGCTCTTCCTGCGAGAGACCTTCAACGCCGGTAAGGCTTCTGTAAGTAAGGTTAGCTCTCACAGTGCTCTCGTAGAAAGCCATGGTATCGAATTTCGTTAAGCAAGGTCCTCTCAGGAACACTTCAAGGAGCCCTGTGTCGTAAAGAGTGAATGATTCTACTTCTTTCGGGAACAGGCCAACCGGTAGCCCTTTGCTTTTGAGGAGATCGTGAATGGAGGATTCTGTTACTGATTCCGATTCCGATTTCGATCGAGAAAAGGGAAGAATAACGCATAGTAGTAGAAGAAGTAGTGTGTGCTTCTGCCGTATAATCGCCATTTCTGTTGAGAGAGATAGGGAAGAGATGATGATCAAAGAGGGGTTTAGTTTAGGGCGAGTTAGGAATAGGAACACGGAGTTTTTAAAGGCCGGCATGTCTTTTTACTAAAATACCCTTTTGTGCATATCACGTGTCAATTAGGTTTTTTCGTTACAACTTAGAAAACAAAACAATTTTCACAATGGGCGAAATTGCAAAAGAGGGCCTCAGGAATTACAACATGTCATTACAAGTGAGAATTGTAACACCCAAGTGCACTTCAAGCCTTCAACAACACTATTTATATTTATTACGGTAACGTATTATGGTTTTATTGCTATAAGAGTAATGTATTTTTATTTTCCAAAATGTAACTTAAACTTTGTCGAGAACAAAATAAAAAACACAAAAGGTGTGTGTTTTGGTTTGGGTTCTAGATACAAAAGAAGAAAGTGTTTTTTGTTTTGAATGATTGTCACTTTAAGGTGCAACAACAATAAATAGGCTTTATTTTGGGTCATAACCCGTCTCCTAGTCTTCAGGAGGTAAAATGTTTTTCCTCTATGATTGTTATTAGTTGCTTGTAATGCAAGTGTCATGAGTCCATCTTGGTGCACATGATATGATCAACTAGCTTAATGACTTGTTCCAAGGGTTGATTATAGACGAATGATTTGATACCGTGAAAGCTCTAACGGGGATGCACGATGCATAAGGAAGAAATCATGCATATCACATCTTCAAGATGAAGTGATACATTGACAAGTTGTGGAGGTTGAGTTATCCTGTAAGTTGGGAGTTGACTAAGGTTCTTATCCTAAACTCACTAACTATGTAACATCCTAATTCAGATCGTCCATGATTAGGGTTCGTGGGCTGCAACCCGAGCATGAGGAAGCCTCGGGGCTGCGACGAGTCGCTAGAAGCGCAGGGCTTCTCGTGACCTTTCCGTAGATACAAGGTTCATTGGAAACGAAGTTATATCGAGGAAACTATGGAAGTTTGAAGTTTTGTCAAGAAAAGTCCCTTAATTGAGAAAGGTGGCAGCTAAGTACGCTGGGCGTACGTGTGTGTACGCTTAGCGTACTCGTGTGCGTGATTTTTAAGCGGAGCCACCTAGTACGTGGGGCGTACTAGGCACAGAGTGAAAACCCTAATTTTGGGTGTGTCCCTATATAAAGGATATGATGGCCTAATTCCTGGCCACCATCTTCAGACAAACAACCCTCTAAAACCCTAAACCTTCGTTCATAGAGTTTGTGAGTGCATTTGAGAGCCTTTGGGTGGTTTTGTGTGTTCTTGGAGTGAAGAAGAAGCTTTGGAGAAGAAGGAGTGAGAGTCCAAGCCCTTGGATCTGAGCATATTTGTATTGGGAGCTTCATATGGAGGTATAAAGCTTCAAGCCTTCTCACTCTTTTGATTTGTGCATCATAGTACAGTATTTTAGGGTTTTGTCACAAAAGTTGGAGACTTTATGAGATATTGAGCTCCAAAGACTTTGATCAACCTCTTTGAGTGTATTTAGTGGTGTAGTGTCATAAAAATCAAGACTTGGACGTTGGAATCAAGTCATGCATGAGATATGAGCATTTTGAGCTAAGAAAGTGAGAGTTTTGTGTGTTTGTGACCTTATCAGCCATGCTAAGGCTTAAAGTCACCAACTTTATAGAGTAAGAGCTATTAGGGAGTCCAGATCTGTGATATGAGCCAAGGTCTTAACTCATTAAGACCAAATGAGTAGAAAGAGTAAACATGGGGAGTACGTTGAGTGTAATTCCAGTACGCCCCGCGTACTGACCATGTGTCCCCGATGGCTAATTTGGATCTGTGAGTACGCTGAGCGTACCAAGGGAGGTACGCCCCGCGTAACCTCACTGTAGATTTTTGGGCTAAGTCTCATTTTGGGCCTTGAGTGTTGGGCCTGGAGTTTGGGCTTGTTGCACTAGAGTTTTGGACCAGAGGATTATATATATATATATATATATATATATATATATATATATATATATATATATATATATATATATATATATCTGTGTGTGTGTGTGTGTGTGCCTTGGACCCTTGAGTTGGGTTAGTCACTTGGACTAGAAAGTTGGGCCTCGGGAGAGCCCATTCATTATTGGGCTTTGGTGGGCCCAGTGAGTTTTAGGTTATTGATGGGCTAGTTAGTGGACTACCTTTAGACCTAAAGAGTGAGGGTTTGGACTTAGATCTTAATTGGGTAATTGTGGATCTTGGTCCACTGTTAGAGGCCGGTGTGCAGCATCAACATCTATAGGAGCTGTTCATCATCCGAGGTGAGTCTTCTCACAATACTTTACCTAAAGTGGTAACCTTTGTGTGACCGGAGGGTCTTATGTGCTTATATTGTGTATTGTGATATCCTGCATTATGTCTTTGTGATTTATGTTGTGTATTATTCTGAGCTTATTAGTTAGGACCAGAGGGTCCACCCGAGTTTTGGGACCGGAGGGTTCCACTGAGACACATTGACCGGTGGGTCTTATCTGAGTATAGCAATGATAGGCTAATGAGATATGTGTGGTATTTTGGGGAACTCACTAAGCTTCGTACTTACCGTGTTATGTGATATGTGTTCCAGGTTCTCCTCAGGATCGCAGGAAAGCACCGGCTTGATTGTACACACCAGAGAAAGAGTTATGTTTTGAGGATACTGGATTATTAATCAAACAATTATGGAGTTGCGTTTTGTAAATTAAATAAATGGGATTTTTGTGAAAAGTGTTATGATAATCATGTGATTTTTAAATGAAAAGTTTGTTTGAAAATTTACGGTGTTACAAGTTGGTATCAGAGCCTTGGTTTGAGAGATTCGGATGCACCTTCAGGTATGTCTGGACTCAAACTGAGGATTTGAGAAAAAATTTCAAAAGAAATGATTTTTCTAAAACGAGAAGGAGCAGTGTGTACAATCAGCCAGAGCCCGAACGGTGATTTCCCAAAATACCCTTACTTATTTGTTTGTGTTATGAGTTCTTATTGAGATATTAGTGATGCATGCTAGAAGATAGGCTAGGTATTTCATATATTAAGGCTAGAGTTGCCTGATTTGTGATGCCTTAGCCTAGGAACTGTTGATATCTGTGATGTGCTTTGAGTATGTGCGGAGTAAGAGTATCCAGCAGGAATATTTTGGAGAGAGCTTTGAGTAGAAGAGTTAATCTAGAAGAGATACCTAGATGAGCATTGGGGGGGGGTCCTACTGAGGGAGTAGTTAGATACCTGCGAGAGGTAGGGTTGCTTGAGTTCGGTGATACCTTTTGAGAGCGAGTAGAGCAAATAGAGTTGTAACCTAGAGTGGTTTTATGTGTTGGTGGAGATTATTCGATGCCCGAATGCTGCTTTCTTTGTGCTTTCTGGAACTCTTCATGATGGGAGTCAGCTACGAAGTGAATATGACGATATTCAGGAGGTAGATGGTTGGCATCATAAGGAGTTCTTCAGCAGCTGATGGCAGAGAAGTGTAAGAACCTAAGAAGAGCCTAGGGAGTGTCTGTAGTCAGATGAGTATGCTGATAGAGGACAGTATTTGTTGGGTAGCGACCAAGTATATTGGGATTGGTGATCGAGAAGGTTGAGCGGCTACTTAGGAAATATGGGACGGTCCATGTGGAAAGTATGGGTAGATGTGACAGGTAGTATGGGCCCGTACTACTGAAAGTAGAGGACCCATACTCGAAACGGGGAAAATTCCAGAGGTTCTAAGTGGCAGATTGAGAGGTGATAACATGGTTCGAGTACCATGATTTGTGGCTGTTAGTGCTTTAGAGTTTATCAGTTATTCCAATGTGATTGATTAGACTGAGAGCAGATATGATAGAGTGTGGGGCCAGAGGGCCATGTCGAACGAGTTTCAATGGAGCATACATTGAGAGGGAAATCGAGTTAGTTTCCTAGAGATTTTTGGTGAGATGCCAGTTGGAGTCGCAAAACTCAGGGATGAGTAGAGATGATGCTTATGGGAGGATCGCGGTCTGAGTTGAGCAATCGACCGATAGATGAGGTGTCACCTTCTGTGACAAGAGTCGTGCTGTCCCTGTTTCCTGGGAGAAGCAAAAGAGATAACGAGTTTCTGGTTTCAGTGTTTGGAGGTAAACCCCGTGGGGTAGCATATGGTGGTGACCTTTTCACCAGATTATTTGGGCAATATGTCTGCTGTGAGGTATTTCTTATACCATGAAGGAGTCATTAGTGGGGACTGAGGTGGGTGAAACTAAGGAAGGTGCTTTTATGAGTGAGGCATGATTTTAGCGTCAGTTCCAGGTGATTAAGAGGAGTACATCGGGGCGGAGGCACTAGTGGTCTACATTGTGTATCGACTGGGAGAAAGAGGTCTCTTGATTTTATGATGATTCCCACGATGGGAGGCTAGTCGAGGAATCAGAGCCGAGGTGCGTGATAGTGCATTATTCCCAGATTGAGAGTCAGGACTAATTCAGAGCAGTTGGGGTATCCGGCGGTGTGTCGGTTTGAGGCTTCGAGATGACTAGAGGCAGTCACGTTGGGAGGATTCTGAGGTTTTTGTCTGAGTTACGGGGTAATTGGAGTTGCTTGGTTTCCATCGGGAAGATCATTGAAGTGATTACGTGGTACGTTCCAAGAGTCAAGCGTAATATACCTGGTGAAACAGTCTATGGAGTCGATTGTTGGTATGCCAATTGGTGATGGTTCGAACCCTGAGTGGGGGAGAATTGGATACTCTATTGAAAGGATCAACGATCCTTTCAAGTGCGGTTAGAGAACTGGTTATGGAGATCTGCGGTGCGGACGCATGAGACCTGGGTTATTGGTGGATGAGACAAGGTGCCCTCCTGTGAGATCCGTCCTTCTTTTTCACGAAAAGGATCGGTGCCCCCCATGGGGAACTGCTCGGATGAATGAACCCTCGGTCTAGCAGCTCCTGAAGCTGCGTAGATAGTTCCTGCATCTCTGGTGGTGCCAACCGGTATGGTGCCTTTGCTATCGGAGCGGCACCCGACACCAAGTCAATGCGAAACTCTACCTGCCTCTCCGGAGGCACTCCTGGTAACTCCTCAGGGAAGACGTCCCGAAA